AGTATAGCATAAATTTCTCTTCCGTTGTCTCAAAGTTCGAGGTCTATCCACTTAAAATAATCACATGCTTAATGATCCCATAACAAAGCAAAACATAAATTTTTTAAAATTATTTTATCTAAAAGTTAAAAAAGACATTAATTTATCATACAAATCATACCTTATAATTTGATCATCCAAGAAATTTCCTTTCAAAGGAAGGTGTCCATGGCCTTCTCAAGGTGCTAATTGACCGCATCCACAAGTTTTTTAATTTGGTTCTTATAGATGCTATGATGGATAACATCTAAAAGAAAACAACAAAATGAATTTGAAAACATCTGGGACTTTTTTCCCCCTTTTTTGCTGCAAATATAAGACTTGAAAGTTTAAAAGCTTTGTTGAATGATGAAATTATAACAAAAATATTTTTGGTCTTGGGAGGAGACTTTTCTTTATATACAATGGAAAGGGGCATTTTCGTCAAAAAATTTGAACATTTTAAATGGGTCATTTTCATCTACCATGATATTTCAACTAGGGTTGCAAACGAATCGAGCCGCTCGCGAGCGGCTCGAACTCGAGTTCAGAATATTAAGTTCGTTGCTCGCGAGCTTGAGTATATATATATATTTTTTATTTTTATTTTTATTTAATAATAAAATTACGTATATTATATATATATTTTTTAGTTTTTATTTTCATAGTAAATTTACGTATATATCCTTAATATTTTATTATTTATTAACAAAAAAATTTATTTTATTTATTTTTTAAAAAATAAAATAATTATTTTTTATTTTTTTCGAGCTCGAGCTCGAGCTTGAAAATTGCCAGCTCGTCGAGCTCGAACTTGGTAAAATTCAGTCGAGACTCGGCTCGATTAGCTCAAATCTCAACTCGACTCGGCTCATTTGCAACCCTAATTTCAACGGGTCTTTTGCTGAGCTGGATTGTATAGGATAAAGTGCCAAAAAAATACTAATATATTATAGGGTAAAGTAAAAAACACCACAAATCTTAAGGGGATTTTTCGTGATTTTCCATATAATTTGTGGTGTTCGTAAAATACTTGCTACTTGTATTATCCGTATCTTTATCCTTATAGGCTTATACCATCACAAGCGCTATTAGTAATTACTGCTCTTAAGTCTTCTCCGGCCCCTGACTCCAGCCGGAAACTAAACGGAAACAATTTGAATCTATTTCTAGGGCCTTGGTTACCTCCGAAATCTTCCTGAAGACATCGGATACAAATTCTTACGGCATTATACTTCTTCGTTTTCCCAGGTACGCTCCCCCCCTTTCCTCCTGTCTCTCATAAAAATAGTTATTTGAACAATGCATTTCTTCTGTTTGGAATGGTTTCGTCATTAAATTCTGCAATTAATTATGATTTTCCCTTTTTCCCCTGCACCTCCATTTGGAACGTAAGAGTTGTTAGCATTGCCAAAAATTCACGCTTCCATGTCGGTGATTTTAATTGCGCCAAATTTCATATTGTTTTCAGGTTATGAGTAACTGCAATACTAGGTTGCTTAGCCTAAAATCACGCTCGTTATGATACCCCTTTGTTGTACTTAATACATTTTCTAATAGCATCTATTGCCCGTTAAAGAACGTCCCTTTCAATATGCTGTACTACTAATTGAAAAAGAAAATGTCAACAGTAGAACTTCTCAAGTACTGTTAAGCTCATTCGTATAGCTATATGCCTGGTTTTCTATTAAATAAAAAATGTTTAGGGGAGAGGAAGGGGAAGAAGCCTGGAGGAATGGGGGCATACTTTTTCTGATCGTTATTTTGAACTTGTTCACTTTGCATTTTCATAAAAGTTAATGCAGCTGAACTTGTTGATATCAAACACACGACCATCCCGTAAATACAGTGTAAAGTAATGTCCATCTGTTTAATAGTGCAAGACTGATTTCTTTTGTTTGGGCGGTTATTTTTTCAATAGCGTTTTTTTATTGATTCAGTGCCCATCTTGAATCAGTTTCATCAATATATCTATCGAACAAAAAAGTTTCATCAATAAAACGACTTGCTTATTCAAGATCGCAGTTCTTTTTGATAGGTTACTTATTTTTTGTTGCTTACACGGCTTTTGGTGTTAGATAACAGTAAGAATAGTGTGGGATGTAAATAAGGCTAAGGGCATTGGTTAAAGGTTTAAGTCATGAACTTTTTCTGCAGCAAGTTGGATGTTGAACTTTTCTCCAATTATGTCATTCAATGAGTCGGCATGCAAATTATGATTTGTACTAATTGGTCGTTATGCTTTTCTCCATTGTTTTTGTGTGTGGTGATATCTACTCACCGAAGTTTGTGTTGGATGTTCCTTTCCTGAGTATCATACATGGATTGTTGCTCTGGTGAACTGTGGAGATCACCAACTCAGACAGATTTGATATCTTTTTAGACGATTAAAGATTTGAAATTCCTATTATTATTTGTTTTTATTTCCTCATCATGTTGACCCCATTTGACTTTTTGCACCATTAAAGAAGCAGTATACTTCATTATCATTTGATTAATTTCCATTGATTGGTTTCCAATTCAGTTTTTTAAACTTTACAACCTCAAATTCAGTGAAGCTGTTAGGAGTTCTTGTCACAAACTCTATACCTTGATTAATGCATGAAGTCTCTTCTAGAAACAGGTAAAAGAAATGCTTTACACCATTTGAAATATTCCAAAAGGGGATTAAAATAAATGATGAGTGCATATCATAAGTCAACTAGTAATGTTTTGGCTTGTCAAAGGATTGGAATTATCCTTGCTGAACTGTGGGAGACATTACTTGATATGCCTACCACTGTACTACCTTATTAGTAATTCTAGCCCTGATTTCCAGGGAAGAAGTACCTTTTTTTAGGGCCTTCTTTTCTTCCTTTGGTAAATCTTAAAGATTCCTGATGTACTGTGTCACTACTTTGTCTTTACATCTTTGAATTTACTTTCCCCCCAGTGTATCAATGCGATGAGTCTTCTTCTCCTTCTCCTTTTTTTGTGGCCCCACTCTTAGATGAAGATTGCACTTTAAAAAAAAAATTAAATTGCACAGGCCATTTGACATAATTTTGGGACGAATTAGTCTGAAATTTGGTGTATTATGCGAACTAGAATAAAGAAGACCTGTTTCTAACTTTGTGCCTTACATCAAAATGTCATAGAATTGCTGAATTTTATCTAAAGCAGTGGCTTAAGGTGGCTTTGGAGCTTCAAGAAATGATAATTAGATTCTTGGCTTGACATATTAGATGACAGTCCAAAGATGGAGTTCTTTTCCCGTTAAGCTGAAAATTGGATAGAGGAAGTTAGAGAGATCTTGAATTGCTCGTGGACTCCTTGTACTTCTACTGTGGTTTGGGTTTGATGGTTGGTTTTGGTAATGCGAACATGTTATCTTTAGCTGCTTTTTCCTAATTTCTCTAGTATCTCCACGTAACTTAAGGAACAAAAAAAGCATATGAATCCTCGCAATCACTGATGTACTGGTTCCTTTGTTATCAATCTTAGCAGATAAACTAAACACAATAGAAACGTATCAATCCCTTGCTGGTTTCTGATTTCTAGTTTCTAGTTGATTTGCATTGGAGTATTTGGTAGATTAAATAAGTGCTAAATTCGTCTGAAGAGCTCTTTTCCCTATTGATCTTCCTCTGTTGTAGATGGTGTTGATCTTTTAGTATTACTGCGCTTCTTTTGGGATACCTTCAGAATTTAGAGTCTGATGTACATCTTTATGGCTTAGGCACAAACCATATTAAGCATAACGTCACAGCATAAGTCTAAGTGCTTTTCTCTTGCTTATAAAGCATAATTTTACATGTCCACACATTAAGTAGGATTCTGGAACCCAACCCAGAGAGGTTTATTTTAAGCGTTAACTTGTAACACCAGACTGCCCCGCACTTCTACAGCACTAGGATATGGTAGTTAACATAGGCCAATTTTGATTGCGATTATGTGCTTCAACTCGCCCAATTTTCCATGTTTGCAAATTGCAGGTGATTGATGGACAAAACTTACAGCTTTCCAGGGGTTTGGTTTGAGTACGTACATTCAGAAGCTGTTCATGGCTTGCAGAGATTGTTGATGACATCACTTGAAAATCCAGTACTGGAATGATGCCTTGTTCTTGCCTCTGCTTGATTTAACTTCCTCTATTGAGCTGATGTACCTCTTTAAAAGCTGTAGCTATTTTATCACACAATTAAATCAACAAAGGGGCCAACTTCCTCATATGAAATGAGTGGAGGTCGTGGAATATTGTTCCAAACTTGTTGAAAGAAGCTTCATAGTTTATCGCAAGATGATCTCAATAAAAGTTTGAAGCAGAGGCTTCCTGAGATAGAGAAGGAAAAAAGATGGATGCCCTGAAAGAATTAATTTTTCATTGATGTTTCTGAATCAAGATCATCTTTTGATGCTGCCAGCATGACGAGTGACCCTCATTGCCGCCGGAGCTGCTCCCTTTGCAAAGCTTCTTCTGATGAGTCCGAGTTTCAATAGATGATTGAGCATGGTCAAGGAGCTGCCGGGATACTCGCTTCTAAGATGTGCTCGCAGAGGACTGCTGAACCATTTTAGTAAAAAGCTTTTCCATCGAAATGAGGACTGCTGAACCATTGCTTTGGGAAGAAACTATGGACTTCTAAGATGCGCTCGCAGAGGTTGTACAACTAGTACTCGAGTTGAAGAATGTGAGAGTCACGGATATGAATAGCTTCCCCTAGCAGGGAAGAAAGGTATGTACTGGATAAAAGCCCATCTGTTGCAATGAGTAGTTCTAGTCCCAGGTTAGATGAACTTGCAAATGTTACCGGAGGCGGCCTTCCTAACTGTATACATCTGGCATGATTGAACTAGTTGCTAAGAAGGCTAATCTCTCATATGTTAAAAGAAAAGATCGACAGAATGTTTTTTCTAATTTACCCCATATGTTCATTGCAATGACCGTTCAGAAACACGAAATGCATTTTTTTTGAGCTGGCAAATGCAGGAAAGAAAAGCGATTGATGAATCTTCAGTTGGGCATTTAATAACTTGTGTAATGGAGCATTGTGCTGTATCATAGAGTGAATTCTTGAAACTGGTTACACAGAGGAAAGAAAGAAATGAGGATGGAAACTAGCAATTGCCTTGATACAGACACAAATTTCTATTCAACAACATGGGTGCTTCACCCGGAGATTCAACCCAATCTAACTTGAGTAAATCTAAGTTATATATTCTTCTAGTTACTGCTATCACTATGGTGGTTGTTAGTGTGGGTGGTGGCATTGATGTTATTACTGCTGTGATGGTGGTGGTTATTGTTCCCAACTCTCCTACTACTACTGGTCTTGAGCTGTGAGAGCTCCAATTGCGTTTTCATGAAGAACTGCATTCTCTGCAATTCCAGCTCTTTGGCAAACTTCATCCTCTGCTTTTCCATGTCCACCAGCTGCTGCAGCTTCGAGCTCTCAGCTTGCTCGTAAGCTTCCCCAAATTTAAGTATAGCTCGAGTCAGCTCCCTCACTGAATTCCCCCAATTCTTCCCCACAACAACACTTGCTTTATCTGCACCTCCCTCTCTCCCCCTGTTCGTTCCAGGCCCAGCAGGCTTTACTCCTCCTCCCAAATTCATCGGCTCCCGCTGATTCCTCGGCCTCTTCCTTTCGTACGTTGCAGGTGGAAAATCATCAGCCGAGTCAGGCGAACCATCGGGCTCGGACTCCTCATCCGAATCCACCGCAGGAGGAGGGGGAGGCCGTTTCCGGAACTGCTGCTTCTGCTTCTGAAGGTGCTGTTGTGGAAATTTCTCTTGCTGCTGCCTCAGCTGAGGAGCTGATCTAACTCCCATCGGGATTCCCATAGGAACTACCCTTTGGCTTCCGGAGTAGGACGGCCCTGCCCCCGCGCCACCCCCGGAAGCCAGTACGGAGGAGTTAAGCTTAGCAGAAGGTCCAATAAGCTGATCAAGCCTCTCAAAGAAGGGCCACTTACTGGGGCCACCACCGGCGGCGATCTTGGCCTTCTCCAGCTTGTACTTCTTCTTGACGGTATCAATCCGGTTCTTACACTGAATATCAGTTTTAGGGGCTTTGGTGTAGTCTTCGCGGCTGCTGACGATATCGGCGACATCCTTCCAGTGCTTCTGCTTAAGATTCCCCCGGCTGAGCTCTAGATACCTTTCTCCCCAGGCGTCAATTAGCACCCCGGTGGCCCCTTCGCTCCAGCAATCCTCCCTCCCACCACCTCCACTATTTCCAGTAGGCCTCGTCTGCTGCTGATGATGTTGTATGGGTAACGCCAGAGTTAGCGTGTTCTGAGAAGGCGGAACAGCAGCCACCGTCACCGTTATCCTGCCGTTGGGACGCGGTGACACCGGAGATCCGGTACCTCCCGATGGATGTGACTGAGTTTCTTCGTCGTCTTCCATGCCGGAGGTCGAAATCTCGCAGCGATCTAGAGGGAGAGAGAGAGAGAGAGAGTGTGTGTGTGTGGGCGAAGGAGTCAGAGGGAGGGGAACTAGTGCGTGACTGTGCGAGAGAGAGAGAGAGAGAGAACGGAAAGGAGAAAGAGGGGGTTTGGTTATTTAGGGCTTATTGTAGGTTTTAGAGAGAGGTTGACCGGCGGAAATTAATGACCGGGGAGGGGGGGCGTTATTTTAAGGCTGACGACTTTGCAACGGATGTAGGAGTAGGTTAAAAATTGCAGGAAAAGATGACCGGGAACGGGGGAAGCAAAAAAATTGCAAGCACGCAAATTGGGCTTCTTTTTTTTTTTTTTTTAAGTGTTTTGGGATTTTATCGGTTGACGGAAAAGAACGAGTTGGAAGGGGAGGTGGGTGACGGCGTCGGTAAAATGAATGAAGGAAGGGGGTGGGACACGTGGAGCGAGAAAAAGGGGATGGTCCGAATACTTGTTCGGATGTTATTGGGTTGGTTACTGGGAAATCGGTCATCGGCGTGATGAAATGATGCCTCATCAGTCTCCTCCACAGCCAGCGCCATCATAGTCGTACTATTATTACTACTACGACGACCACTAGAGCCCTTCGCCTCCTCTCTTAGTCTTGGCAACTACTACTGCCGGCTGGCTTGGTGGACCTTTTCCCTGTTTTTGTCTGCTTATCGCTATCCTCCCTCTGCCATTTCTGATTTTTTTCCTTTTTTCCTTTCTTTTTCTTTTTTCTGAAGGCAGGCACGACGTTAATCGGTTGCAGGCACTTAAGTACTACTACTACTAATACGCTTCTCTTTTTCTTTCACCAACTGGACTTTGCTTCTTCATCTTTGTGTCCGTTTTACAGGACAGAGTTGTTCTTGGTTGGTGGAAGCTGTCTGTGGAGAATACTTGGAAGCCAAAGGGCTCTCCCTCTCTCTCTCTCTCTCTCTCTCTCTCTCTCTATACAAGACTAGAACAACTACAAATGGTAAAATCCCGGCAAGTGATGATACCAGCGGCCATTCGGATGAATTCGATTAATCAATCAAGGCTTTGTAGGGAAAAGTGGATAGGTTCGCTACATCAGCTTTCATTGAGCACCAAAATCTAAATGCAAGCCAATTCAATGCTAATACCAGACACATCTCGCTATAAATCCTTAGCATCTACTCACGTAGTACTATTTGGTTAGTAGCAATTATTATTATTATTACTACTATATATTTTTGGCCTAAGGACACATTAATTTCACTCAAATTCACGTGCTCGAGTATCATAATAAATTCACACATTATGTGGTTCTTCGAAAAAATTCAAACGGATGCTTAGTGTACTCGTCTGGTCTGGTGGTGATTCTGTCTCCGTAGGTCTAATTGAGTCTCCTTGTAGTTAGATTAGGATAGAGTGGAAGTATGGATGATAATTACCATAATAAACCTGCCAAGAAACAATTGAGGAGAAAATTATTGGCCGGACTCGAACCCTCTCACCGTTCTGTCTAAACAGAGCTTGACGGCTTACCTGGCGGGCAACGACCCCGGTGCTCTGCTACCGCGTCTGCTGATGTAGCATGGCTTGGTACCACAAATTGGTGAGTAAAAATTGGGGACGATAATTAATCTCGCTTACAGGTGTTGTTGACGATAGCGAATTTGGATACATAAACATTACTTAAAATTTAAATTTTACCATGCAACGTCTATCCAATTTTGCTAGCAGCGTATAAAATATTAATCTTTAATATTTTTTATTGAGAAAAATAAAAAAGAGGCCAGTAAAGCCATAATTGTTAACTCTTTCTTCTTCTTCTTTTTTTGTTTCGCGCATTCCTTGGGATAAAAATAGTAAAGCAATCAATTTGACATTGTGAAAATGCAAGTTGGTTTAAGACTGAACAATTCTCGAATGGGGTTTGATGATGAAGTGCAAGCTGTCGAAGGGCCAAACGATTCAAGTATCAACATTCCGTTCAATATTAATTTGGACCTTACAAATACATAGAAGGAGGTTGAGCATTGCATGTTGATCCAAGCTGAAGAAGAAGGGACTTAATAGATCCGCCCCATAGATTGGGTCGCAGCGCGTTTCATTTCAATTTTCTTAGTTCAATCTCTGCCCACAATCCCTTCACGGATTCGATTCAAATAACTAACTTTTAGGGTTTTTTCTTTCTAATTGTCGTTCTATTAATTAGGATATTTTATTTAGTTACTTAATTGTTGGTTATTAGAAATAAATGGCTAGCTGTATAAGTTATTTGGACCATTAGATTAGTAATTTTAATGGAATAAGTGATGTAATTCACGTTTGATCCGAATTTAGACTAGTTTAGCTATTTTGATTATAAATAACCTTGTAATAATAGTTAGATAGACAAATTTCAGCAAATAATAATGAGAGCTTTCTCTTGGTTTTATTGAAAACTTTTCTCCAATACTTTAGAATTAATTTTAAGCGTTTAAATCAACGTATCAACATGTTCGCAAATGCGAAAATTAGAAAGGTCTTTAATTTTTCGCAATACAAACTTAAGTATCAACATCGAGATTTGAACTTGTGAAATACGAGTTTCGTTTTCAGTAACCGGAAGGTTCGTGTTAGGGTTGGAGCGAAATCAAATTGATGCGATCTACTGTTTTTTTTTTTCTTTTTCTAAAAAGTGCATTTATAAAATGGGATGCTGATATTAGCGGGTCGCACAGAGCGACTGTCTGAAGCCGAAGGGGATAAAAACGTGGCGGTGCTGGCTTTTGGGGATCAGACGATGGCGATGATGATGTCAGCAGGAGTCTAGAAACAAAAGAGGACGGACCTCTTCTCACGTAAAATGGATGCAACCAAAGAAGTACTGGCGTGGATATGTTGGTGGCTTAGCAGACGTCATTTTTTACAAGGCGCCGTTAACAAGCAGTACTGCATTCCTCAGGTGAGAGTAATGGGCTCATGGCTTTGGGCTTCAAGTTTAAAAGCGCTTGCAAAAGCTGAGAGAAATCCAAGAGTCTTCCCCACCATTTCCACTTCGATTCTTCTAAGGGTATGTTTGGTTTCCCATGGAATTGAGATTTAGAATTGGAATTGGGGCCCCAATTCCAAATCTGTTGTTTGGATACTGCTTCCGTCAAAGAATTAGAATTGAATCTGAATTCTATAGGGGTCCAATTCCATGATTTGAATTCTTTATTGGACCAAAAGAATTCTAATTCCAATTCCACAACTAAACCCTGCGAAACGGGTCTACACGCGGATCTTGTGGGTAAAAAATTAAAATCGGGTCAACTAGGTAAGCAGCCCTCTCTCTCGATCACTTTTCCTCAACCGCAACTGCTTCTGCTCTGCGTCATCGCCTTCACCTCCACCCTAACATTTTGCCTCTTCCACCACCGTCTCCGGCATCGCTTTTTGCTTCTCCAGCTATCCCTTACCAATCGCAAGACTGCTCCGAGTAAGTTGAGCTAATTCTTCCAGGATTCAGATAGTCACTTTAAGCAGTAGCCATTATTTGCAAATGTTTAAAAGATTAAAAGCATGACGTTTTTAACTGAAATTCACCCTATACGAAGTTGAGTGTTAAGAAGGAAAGAGGGATAATCTGATCATCCTTTGAATCTTCTATGTGATGCAAGTCTTTCATCCTTGAAATAGTTATAGATGTTTGCAAGGTAGTGAAAAATGCAGGCTGACTTGGTAACTTGGCTCGAGTTATACTTTTGCTGGCCAAATCGTCAGTGTTTCACATTAGAGTGGTTGTGATGATTTTCTTTGTTGTTTTGAGGAGAAATTTCACAATTTTTATTCCAGTAATTGAATGGTTTCCAACTGATTTGACCTTGATTTATGGAAGTAAAGATGAGAGTCTAATAAGATCCAGTAATATGATAAATACTACCATGACAACAAAGATTCGGATTTGCAGGTTTTAGATGATATTTTTGCCTCACGGATGCAACAATTGCTCGGGAATGCACTACAACAAAAAGACGTGGAACCCCATATGAAAAATGATTTTCAGGGGATTTTTTTAAAGTTATAAAATATTTTAATCGATTTGGACATAAAAATTTTGGGTGTGAAATGATAGAATTAGAATGAAATCTGGAGGAATTTGGGATCTCAAAGCCATGCTCCTAAGATTGATACGTACTAGGTTGTTGCCCAGGGATACTAATGACAACCTTTTCAGATTGGAAGGCTTAGTTATGACTGTAAAGAATGAATCAATTGAAAATCCCTGGGACAGAGTTCTCTGAGGTATGGAAAAGTTTGCAGTAGATGGTTATACAACAAAGTTCAGTTTATCTTAACTGTAAAAATTAATATAATAATCACTTTAAAAAATTAAGTGGGTTTTTCACTGTCGCTCTAGTATGTTTTTCACTGCATTCCACATCTTCCACCATTGGTACTCTTGGTGATAGTGTACTTATGTCCAGAGTACCCCATTGATCAGAGAGCACTCTGCAGAAATCATCTAATTCCTGCATCTTCGGACAGCTATTGCTGCTAGAGAAAAAGGGATTGACAAAAGGGGCTTTAGGCAGCTTTTGATACCTTCCAAAGAGATGTCAGATGCTCTTCTCTGTCTATTATCCCACTGAATAGCTGTTTTTTATACATTGTATGGAGAAAAAAATTATGTTCCATGGTCAATATCTTGATTTTATATGGGCTACTTGTCAATAAGTTGCAATTTCAACTTCTGTCCATCCTAAGGATCTTATAATTCCATATGGTCATCACGTTACTCTTGTCTATATGTTTCAGCTTCAACTTCTATCCAACGGTTTCAGATTGCTCAAAGTAGGTGGATCTCTTGTGTACAGCACTTGCAGGTGCATATTCCCGTATTTCTCAGTAAATTACAATGCCTTGTATCTTGTGTCTGGGTAAAGATGTACAACTAATTAGTATACTTTTTCGTTTTATGATGGAACAGTTTAACTGTTCCCAGAATGAAGGTGTGGTCGAGAAATTCCTTTCTCAAAACAAATCTGCTGGTAAGCCTTCTAGTGCAGTTTTTGATGCTCTTGCTTAACATATTATTCTGGCTTGAGAAAGTGTTAGTACTCTGGTCAATGAAAATTTGAAGCGCTTATTCTTCTTGTTATAGCTTTAGTATATCTGCTAGTAGTTGGTTCATGTGTTGTTATATTACTGAACGACCAGATTAGATTCTTTAACTTCTGTATGTGATAAAGATAATCAAATCAAGTTAATCCATTACAGAGTTTGTAGAAATGATAGAAATTGATGGGACAATGTTGATTGTTGGAGGTGCTAGTTGTAGAGTTTTAAAATGGGTGCCAGACTTTTCATTTTTCTTGTCAAACTGAGGTGTGAATCTTGAGTTATGGCATCATCCGAATTCTAGACTAGAAGCCGAGTATCCAGAAGCTGGTTTAGTTACTGTGAATCACTTGGGTCTCATTTTAATCACCATTGTGACATCTAATTATGCCCTTGGTTTTACAGGCTTGCTGGAGATAGATTGTGCAAGAACGTGGCCTTATAAGAGCGGGCAGATACCTAAAACTTTGCGCTTTGATCCTAATACATCATGTACGAGTTTTCCAATAGCTAATTTGGTCTTTTGAATTAATAGCTAGTTTGGCATGATTTGGTCTTTTGACTTACCTTTTCTTATTGTTGTCATGATTTTGAATTGCAGAATTGGATATTGACATGGATAAAGAAGGAGACGAGCAAAAAGCAAAAAAGAGAAAAGTGGTAGTTGCAAATTATATGGTAACAATAGCTACATTAGTAGTTTGGTGGCATGAGAAACATATAGTAAAGGAGCCTTACTTGGACTTTAAAGTAGCACGTGAAATATATCTAAGGCGTCTTTACTATGGAAACAATAGAGTTTGTGTAGAGCAACTTAGACTCAATAAACATTGTTTTACTGTTTTATGTACAAATTTAAGAGAGCATTGTGGGTTGATGGATACTAGAAATATTACTGTTGAAGAGGCAATTGCAATGTTTCTCTATGTTCTTGCTCATAATTTTAAGAATCGCACTGTCAATTTTAATTTCATAAGATCAGGTGAGACAGTTAGTCGATACTTTAATATAGTTCTACGTGCTATCATAAAATTGGGGAGACACTATCTTATCCAGCCTGAATCGGAAATGGAAGGTTACGAGCATGAAAAGTGGGAATGGTTTCAGGTAATCAATATTTTTTGATGTTTATTAATGAAGATAATATTTACAAGATTCATCAACTTATGATATTTTGTTTATAATACAGGATTCTCTTGGAGCGTTAGACGGTACTTATGTTAAAGTACATGTTCTTCTTAGAGATCAAGGAAGATATAGGAATAGGAAGAATGAGATAGCAACAAATGTTTTAGGTGTATGCTCCCGTGACATGAGATTTACATATGTATTGCCTGGATGGGAAGGTTCTGCAGCAGATGGTAGAGTTCTACGGGATGCGTTAGTTAGATCAGATCCATTAATTGTTCCCAAGGGTATGTGACAATTAGATATCAAGTGTTTTTTTTTCTTTTAACTATAAATGAGTAATAATTTGTTGTCTAACATTACAGGCAAGTACTTTCTTGTTGATGCGGGTTATGCAAATAGCTCCGGTTTCTTAGCTCCATATAGGGGAGTTAGATATCATCTTAGCGAGTGGTCTGCTAGTGGGAGCAAGCCTCAAAATTTTAAAGAGTTATTCAACCTTCGACATTCAATTGCTCGAAATGTGATTGAAAGGACATTTGGTTTGTTCAAGAAGCGGTGGGCCATTTTGAGAGATGCATCTTTTTTTGATGTTAAGACTCATGTCATGATAATTAATGCATGTGCCATCCTTCATAACCTTATTCGAGTAGAACAACCAAATGACCCTTACTTGGATGAAGTTGATGCTGAGATGCGAAGAGTACAACATGAGGTTGATGATGAAGATGAAATGGAAGATGAAGATGAGGAAAATGGAATGGAAGATGATGGTCCAAATAATGATGGTGGTGTAAATGCTGTTAACGAGAATCGAATTCGAACAGTACAACCAACTAGCGAGTGGACACAATTTAGGAATGCTTTAGCACGAGCAATGTTTATTGACTATCAAATTAGACAAGGCCATCATGGAAGTTGAAATTTGATAGGAATTTATTCGAACTTAATTTCATATTAGAATGGCCATTTATTGAAAAATAGTAGCAATGTATAATTGTGCTTTTTTTTTCTTTTTTTTTTGGCTAAAAACACTTTGTTTGCGTATTCCTCTATTTCTTGTATTCCTATATTGAAATTTCTTGTAAGATACAAAACTCAAATATTTATAATAGGTACAAGTTATGACTTTCCTCCCAATTCATATCATAGAGTAGGCTTTTGATTTTCTAAAATTTAAAGTTCTTAACTTTAAAAACGTATCAAGGTTTTAACTCGATAAATATTAACTACTTTTTAAGTTAGAATATACAATTATTTTTTATTTAATATAATTTAATTTTTTTTAAAAAAAGAATTTTTTATTTTTGCAAAAAAGGAACTAATTTTTTTTCTTTTAAAGCTTTATTAACAATTAGTTAAATGCAAGAAAAAATAAATTATTAAAGGTACTAATTGGTTTTTTCCTTAAAGCTTTAGTAACAATTAGCTAAATGTTAAAAAATTATTATATAGTAAAAAAAAGAAATTTTTTATGTAAGAAAATATTAGTTGGAAACAATTCTAATTCCTAATGAATTCTTCTCCCATACAAACAAAGAATTTGGAATTTCAAATAAATTCCGTATCAATTCTATGCATTTCCCAAACGAAAGAATTGAAATGACTTGGAATTCCAATTCATAGAATTCCAATTCTATAGAATTTCAATTCTAATTCAATTCTAATTCTGTAGAACCAAACGTACCCTAAGATCAGAAAGAATAGGGTAAGTTTGATTTCATATGTAAGTACAACGGCTCTAGTGCGTTTTCTGGGTCCGGAAGAAATTCATTCATGTTCAGCCTTAACGTACGTTAATATTTGCAATTAAACCTTCTTTTTTCTTTTTTCATAACCTGGAACATGCCCTGATTCGAACATTTAAGATCCGAACCGGCAGACCAAACCGGAGAAGTGCGCTACGACCCCACGCAGCTATCTCGGACAAATCACGAGAATTCAAGTTCAGGATAAGATTCTAACCCAAAATTACAAAGGGTACGTTTGGTTCTACAGAATTATAATTGAATTAGAATTGAAATTCTATAGAATTGGAATTCTATGAATTGGAATTCCAAATCATTTCAATTCTTTCGTTTGGGAAATGCATAGAATTGATATGGAATTTATTTGAAATTCCAAATTCTTTGTTTGTATGAGAGAAGAATTCATTAGGAATTAGAATTGTTTCCAACTAATATTTCCTTACATAAAAAATTTCTTTTTTTTACTATATAATAATTTTTTAACATTTAGCTAATTGTTACTAAAGCTTTAAGGAAAAAATCAATTAGTACCTTTAATAATTTATTTTTTCTTGCATTTAACTAATTGTTAATAAAGCTTTAAAAGAAAAAAAAATTAGTTCCTTTTTTGCAAAAATAAAAAAGGATCTGATCTAATCTAACGCATCCCGTAGAACTCTACTATCTGCTGCAGAACCTTCCCATCCAGGCAATACATATGTAAATCTCATGTCACGGGAGCATACACCTAAAACATTTGTTGCTATCTCATTCTTCCTATTCCTATATCTTCCTTGATCTCTAAGAAGAACATGTACTTTAACATAAGTACCGTCTAACGCTCCAAGACAATCCTGTATTATAAACAAAATATCATAAGTTGATGAATCTTGTAGATATTATCTTCATTAACAAATATAAAAAATTATTGATTACCTGAAACCATTCCCACTTTTCATGCTCGTAACCTTCCATTTCCGTTTCAGGCTGGATAAGATAGTGTCTCCCCAATTTTATGATAGCACATAGAACTATATTAAAGTATCGACTAACTGTCTCACCTGATCTTATGAAATTAAAATTGACAGTGCGATTCTTAAAGTTATGAGCAAGAACATAGAGAAACATTGCAACTGCTTCTTCAACAGTAATATTTCTTGTATCCCTCAACCCACAATGCTCTCTTAAATTTGTACATAAAACAGTAAAACAATGTTTATTGAGTCTAAGTTGCTCTACACAAACTCTATTGTTTCCATAGTAAAGACGCCTTAGATATATTTCACGTGTTACTTTAAAGTCCAAGTAAGGCTCCTTTACTATATGTTTCTCATGCCACCAAACTACTAATGTGGCTACTGTTACCATATAATTTGCAACTACCACTTTTCTCTTTTTTGTTTTTTGCTCGTCTCCTTCCTTATCCATGTCAATATCCAAATTCTGCAATTCAAAATCACGACAACAATAAGAAAAGGTAAGTCAAAAGACCAAATTTTAAAAAGTGAGTGTTAAATTCTACATAGTCAATTGAAGCTAAAATGATAGCTAATGAAACCTCTGACATAATAATCTGCAATAATATTTTTGCCTTTCCTGAAATATTACATTTACAGCTTGTGAATACAACTATTGACAGAAACAAATATATTGGCTTATACACCTTTAATACTTTAGAGATCGCTTAGGAAATAGCTACAATTTTGTAATTCATTAGTTTGTGCAAGTTGTTGGTAAACATAATTATTAGCTTCTGTGATTCATTGCTATGATCAGGTTAGTGTTTCAATTTGGTACTGCCCATTTTGCCTTGAAAAACAAGCTTGGGAAACTATTACACTCAATTCTGTGAGTTACAGAACAAAAGATTAATTATCTTCCCCTTGAAACTCCTCTATATATGTGTGTGTGTGAGATAAAGATAGCTATTTACAATTTCCTAACTAGCAATGAATTGCAGGGAAGGCCCAACTGTTACACCACATAAGCTTTAAAATATGCGTAACAATTGATTATATACAGAAACATACACCAAAGAACTGCAGGACAACTGTAGTATAGAACTAAAAATTCGCTCTGTCAAAGTAAATTTGTGATTCCTTCTATGATTCTAGATACTAAGTTAAGAAGAGTAGAACTGGTTTTAAGAAGATTTTTTAATCTGACACTATCTTAAGAATAGATTCAACAGCCACTGCATTATAGAACTAAAAGTGAGAGGCAAATATGCACCAGAAAAATCCATACATATGTTAAATGAAGAACTTATGCTGACTTATTTGGACGGAACCTTTTTGCAAAAGCAATTTGGAGATGTTGCTAAGATCATCACTTATGTGCACAAAGCTTTCTTTCTAGAAACAAGACTAATTGGCTACGAGAAACATCAAAATCCTTCTAAAGCCTTCTATGAGTCTCATCAAAAGGAAAGATTTAGTAGAGTCTCATTTAGAGGGAAGCTCTAATGGAGTGGCATCCTTAAAATTATGGATGGATAATCAGCTGAAATTCTACATAACACAGCTAAATATCTCATCTTTCAGTGTAGAATCCAAATGCAGTATCAATTTGTGGTTCCACAATGCAAAAGCTTCTAATAGATCTCAAAAAACCATTTTAAGGAAGACATACGAGATTACCCCTTTCATCTTCATCACCAATATGATTTTAAACTAACATTATATATTCCAACAAGCTAAAACTTGGACTCGATTTAACTAATTGAACTCAAACCCAAAATAAGAAAAAGGAAACAAACGATCAACTTGTGCTTTTTTTTTTAATCCTTATTAACAGCATAAATCTAGAAGCCAAAAATACTAGAGCAAAATATCAGAAAATACAAAAAAAAAAAATGTTGTTTGATTGGCAAAAATTTAGACAAATTTACCTTCACAAAACAAAACAAACCATTGCAATGTATCCAATGAAAAAAAAGCTATGTAATAAAGCCCATAACCAATGATTAATTGAAAAAATTAATCATAATTTTCTTTTTTTTTTGAAGCAAAAAAATAATTTTGTGCTAGAAAGATGCTGGAAAGATTAAGAGATTATTCTGATAGTAGATTATTTTGATGCTGGAAAAATTAAGAAACAACTCTTACCAACTTGGCTTGTAATTTCCCTAATATGATGGGTGTTTAGCGCGAACCACCGGTACCCTATTCGAGGTTGCCATGTGTTAGTACATCTTTAGGCTCAAAGTTCCGCACAGGCCATTTCAATTCGGGACAATAGTAGCGGCAAAATCTCAGAGACCAAAAGGTGCTCCTCTGCTGTGTTGCGTTCGCATTATCCTTCCTGGGTGTCTCACAAGCCCTAAATGTGTCTGAAATTTGGGGTGGACAGTGGCGAGAGTGGCGAAGAATGGAGGAAGTGGCCAGAGAAATGGAAGGCAGGGGGGAGACGGTGGTGGGAAAGGTAAGATATTAGGATTGCAGGTGGAAGTGATGGTGGAGAGCAGAGCCCTAGCGGCTGAGGAAAATGGTGAGTTAGACAGGAAGAAAGGGGTGCCAATATCCTTTGACCCGATTTTAATTTTTGACCCATACTAGATCCGCGTGTGGACCCGTTTAGTTGTGGAATTGGAATTGGAATTCTTTGGTCCAGCCAAAGAATTGGAACCATGGAATTCGATCAATTTGGAATTGTAATTCGATTCTAATTCTACAGGAAAGATAGTACCCAAACACAAGAATTGAAATTGGAGCTCCAATTCCAATTCTACACTCCAATTCTATGGGGAACCAAACGTACCCAAAGAGTTTTTAAGAACCCGCTTATCGCTGGATCACCCCGCGAGGGCAATTAAACCTTCTTCGTTGACCGAAAGATGTGTGTACGTATGTTTCGTGTTACTGGAAGGCATACAGCTTCTTCCACGGCCTCGTTGGCAAAAATGTTTAGGATCCCAGTAACAAAGACAGGACATGCATGCGTTCGTCACGCTTTAATTTCTCCGTGATATAACTCTCACTTTCAATATTGAAAGTAGCTATATAGAACAAATTTTTATGAATCCAACACGTAACATGTACGGACAGTGATTTGATCCTGACATTTTCTTTTGCCGATCTCTCAAGAGCAGACATTCTGATGACGGTCGGGTCAAATTTAATACATACGCATCAATCTAGCGAGTTATTGATGATAACCTTGACAAATCTAAATAACAGAAGAACTTTAACTATTGCATTTCGAGACTTTCTCTCGATCGAAGATATGCAATTGCAGCAGCTGCCATCACCAGAGAGTGAATAAGTTCAGCTTGTGTCGTACCTTAATTCTTTTAAAATTGGGAAGCTTTCCATTTTTTTCTCTTTTATTTTGATTCAACCTAAATATCCGGTGACATCAAAATATGCTCGTCTCTAGATCGATAACACCCATCCAAAGTGTTTGTAAAACAGGCAAATAGCTGCATCCGTATCATCCGCACCACACATATACAGAAATTTCATTAATTAGCGAACACAACTCAAACAAGATACATACGTAAACTAGAGCCATGCTCTATGTACAGAAGACTCAACAAAAACACTAGTAGAAAACCAACCAAACCCCCACCACAAACACAAAACGAAGAAAAAAGGACCAAAAAATCAAGTGTCCATCTATTCTATCCACTTGATATGGCAGCGGTCCTGTCAGTGCATGCCAAGTACACTCTCTCCTACTACTACTGATCATCATATAGGTTACTACTCATCCCAGACTTGAGAAGCGGAAGCAAGGGGGCAAATCATATTCATGGCCACACAAGGCCAGGTTTACTTCTTCTGCTTCAACCTCTGCAGTTTTATTTGCCCTAACCCTCTCTCTCTCTCTTTTTTTTTTCAATATGCAGCTCGCTTTAACCATGCGGCTGTCCTATATTTACAATCAGATATATACACACACACCATGAGATATGATAAAAGAAACTTGGTTTATTTTAGTAGTATATACTTTTGGGGGGACGTATGTACAAAAAGGAATTTGCCTTGGCGGGTGTAGCTGGCATCTAATTTCCCAGACAAAAATGGTCACCTCTCGCTTCTCTATTAACGATCCAAAGCGGTTAGTACAATCCTGCAATTGTATCATTACACCACGCGTGAGAATCCTGAAACCTTACAGGTAATTACATTAGCATACCAAGTAACGTTAACAAAAACGTTTGGCCACCCCCCTCTTTTTCTTCTTCTTTTTTTTTTTCTCAAATGAATCCAGCTTTGATGTTGATTGCAATACAGATAAATTGATACCAGAAAATTATTATCCCATTTCTTTAACCGCACTAAAGAATTATCACTATATTAGCATCGTGTGATCGATATTCGATCGTACCACAGAAGAAGACAAAATATACCTCTCCGTGTATTCCTTTTTTTGTTGTTTTTTTTGTGGGGGTGGGGGGAAGAGGGGGGGGGGGAGAAGGAGGAGGGAGTTTGAAACAATAACAAAATTGTTGCAACGAGATTATGCATAACTAAAATCAAATGAAAAACCAAAAAGGTGACGGAGAAGAAAATCACCAATCGTAGCCCGTCGGGCTTTTTGGCTCCCCTGGTTGTAAGGCTGCCGAATTGGATTTTCTCCTCGTCAACTTCTTAAAATTTCCACCATGACCAGGAGCAGTCGCTACACCACACCCAACCGGAGGCCCAAAAAAAAGAAAAGAAGCAGCAGAAAGGTTTCAAGACGAGACAACACAAATCGTTTAAAGAAAAACACCTCTGAATCCCGAGTCGCATGCAAAAGACTTACGTGAAAGTGGAGAAGTTGGGGTGGTAGAAGCAGAAGCAGCGGGAGAAGAAGGGACTGAGCCGGAATCAGGGGTAGCAGAGGCATATCGCATGGTAGGAGAGTTGCCACGGAGGATAGTAATGCTCCGTGAAACAGGGATCAGATGATCATCCACTGATCCCATCATCATGGTAGCTGGAGCAGCTGGTGCAGATGGACGAGCGCCAGAAAAGGAATTGTACTTGCGGAGTTTGCCAAGCCCGGATTCAGGTGTTGGCCCGGCAAGCGTTTCGTCCCAGAGCTTGTGGAGGAAACCCATGTGCTTTTACGGATATTTTTAGTACTGTTTCTTTTGTAACAACCGAAATAGGGTGATGCTATCTCCTGGGTTTAGCAGCACTAATACGTTGGTGACACCAAACGATATACGACTGTTACAAAGAGGAAAGAAAATGGTGTGTTTTCTTTAGAATTTTTTTTTATGCTTAAAAGCAGGAAGGAACTGTTAGGAAGTTCTTAGGCTTCTTATGGAAGAGAAGAGAAGAGAAGAGGAGGAGAGTGTAACAGAGAAAGTTGGATAAGATTGGCTGGTATGGCTTTGGGTAAGTGGGTGGCTCCGGCTAATATGGCTTGGTTTGAAGCCATTGATTTCTTAATGGAGGTCTGAGCTCCAATGTGAAGCCGAATGAGGTACGGTA